TGCTGAAACTGACAAGCGGCGGAGCAGAGCAGCTGGGATTCTGCCGGGTTGGTCCCGCAGTGCCACCTCTCTGCTTGGCGATAACTACTGCAGTCTGGGAGGGGTGGGGAGCCTGCTCCCCTTCCAGAAACTCTCAGCAGCAGCACAGGGCTTCCCCCGCCTTCCTGCAAAATGGCGGAGGGGTCGCCCCTTGCCGCATTGTTCCCCGCCCACCCCCCGGATGCAGTGCGGGTCCCCTGGCACAGCCCCCCACCAGAGTATCTCCTGATACTCCGGCATATCCAATATTCCGGCAACACCTAGGTCCCAAAGGTGTCGGATTATCGGAAGACTACTGCATTTGATTTTTAGACTGTGGTAGCCCTCACATGCCCCAGTCAGGAGAAGAGAACTCAATGCCTCTGCCTCAAAGCTCTAGAAAGAGAGAGAATTTCCCTGGGGAAGTCACAGAGCACTAGAGAAAAGTTACTGTTATATTGATATTTTACACGGATAAATTAGTAACTATAAGCCTATCAGCCTGACATCAATCACAAGAAAATTTGTGGACTCTCTTATATGGGAAACAGTAGCAAAGAATTAATGGATGGCAGTATAATTTAAGCCAATCTTTTTGGTTTTAACAGAAAATAGGTCTTTCAAAACAACCATGATTTTATTTTATTTTATTAATGAAATTTCAAATGTGTCTGATACAGGTAACTTTGTTGAAAAAAATACTGAGATTTAAGGCTTAGTGTTAAATACATACTGGTTAAAAAATTAACAGCACTAAAAAGAATCAGTGCAACACATTAACTGGCTAACAGAGAAGTGACTGTAAAGTGGTGAATCACCATCCAAAGCAAGTATTTCTATAGGGTCCTGCAGGAATTTCTTCTTCATCCATCACAAACCAATATCTTTAATAATGATCTGGAAGAAAATGTAACATCTTTGCTTGTCAAATTTTCATATGACACAAAAGTTGGTGGGAACTGGTGAGTTCTAGAGAGAGATCTGGATCTTTTGATAGGGCCTATTTGAACCACATATGTTTCATTATGGCCAAACACAGGGTGAACATCCAGGAACAGAGAATGCAGGTCCGATTTACAGGCCCTGGAAATCTGTGACTCTGAAAAGGCCTTAGGGGTTCCTCGTGGAAACGCTAGTTCATGGTGCAGCACTGTGGCTTAAGAAGATCAGCATGATCTTTGGATGTATGAAGGGTCTATTGAGTAAAAGCAAGGAGGCAGCATCATCTCTCTGTACATGACAAGACCATTACTGGATACCGTGTCCAATTCTGGTGTCCATATTTGAAACAACGTTAGAAAACTGGAAAGGAGTAAATTTAGGAAAAAAGAAAAATTTTAAGTCGGGAAAACCTGACTCACTGTGAGAAACTGAAGAACCTTATCCAAGAGAAGATAAAGAAGTGCTAACTTGCTGAATACCCAGAGTTCTAGCAACCTGTACACAGGCTAATGAATGATGGGACATATTCAAAGGCCTCTAATGTAGTCAGGGCAAATTGATTTTCCCCAAAACTCTAAAAGACAGTCTCTACTCCTTCTGTAAGTATTCTTATCTTGCCAAATTTCATATTTTGACTTTCATATACTCCAGAATATCTGGTATTTAAAAAACAAAAACAAAAACAACACACACACACACACACACACACACAACCAAGCAGTGATTTTTGTAAATATAAGAGGGATTTTTCCTACCACTTTGATAATTTTGGACCAGAACTTGAAAATTTTTATGAATATTTAAGAAGATAAAGTATCAAGAACTACAACCAGAAACTTAAAATAGAAACACTCAGGCTCCTTCACTATGGCTTGTCACTTCAGTGCTGCTTTAACAAGTCAGTAAATATTGCAAAGGGATCCTCCAAGATGTGTGATGTAATATATTGTTATTGATATTATCCATTGTCATTGTTAACACCCAGTCATAATAGTCTCCGAGAAGGCAATAAAAGGATTAAAGCCATAGTCTTACAGTGCATTATGCACTCATTAACTGCCTCCAGGTGGCAGGCACTTCCAGTTTCAATTTTATACCCACAAAAATCTAATATATAATCATTTGTTTGAGTGCAACTGATACCTCCTCACACCCTCCCATCAGTTGTTCATTCTGCAATACACCTCTGAGCAGCCCCTGCCATAGAGCCCTGCATACTGAGTGGGCCCTATTCAGAAGTGTGGTAGGAGGGGCTGTTGGTTGTAGGGTGGTGGCTGGCTTAGAGTCCAGCCCAGTTCAGAATGGTGTACCCTATACATAAAGGAGTGGCCCAGCCCTGGGAGGGTATCTGCTTCTTTTCTTTCCCACAGCAGGAGACTGGGTCTGTTCCTGAATTCAGACCATAGGAGCTTGGGATATGCTGGGTCTGTCAGATGTTGCAGTCATAAGGCATGTGTGCTATGGGCGAGCACCATTTTGCCATAGATAGACCATGTACAACTGCTGAGCTCTGGGAGCCCTCATGATGGGCAAGAGGCTTACTGTTGGGGACCATCATAAGACCCTTGTCTGCTAGGGCATTACATGGCTGCCCATCACTGTAGCGTCAGGGTGTACAACTGCACGTGCCTGTGTGGGGAGCCTGGACAAGGTCATTTTCATGCTGAGGGGAATAAGGAGAACTAGAAGGGGTCCAGAGGGGATTGGGACACAAGAGTTTATCAACAACATTAATACCAAAGCACAAAGCTGGGAGCGAGGTGTGTGAGAATAAAAGGCAATATAAAGGCTGGTACCCACAAAGGACAAGCTGGGAAACCAGGGAAATAGATATCTATTAATACAGCATTATCCACATTGCATTTACTTTTGAGCCTGGTCTGGTGGATGCCAGTGCCTGCAGGTCTACAATATGGATCAGCACGCTCCTTATCTCCAAAGAACACAGACTGCCATCTGGACCATCAGCTCAGGAATTAGAACACAGCAAACCCATTAGCATCTGGTTCTCGAAGGAAAACGGATGGCCTCTTTCAGGAGCAGATGAATCCCACTTGGCTGTGTATCCGTTACTCAGTCTGGTTAATTTAAAACCTGGCAGACTCTGCAGATGTGCCTTCAGAGATCTAATCTGAGTCCTAATGTTCTGTTGTTATTGACTATTAGCCTCATTTTAACAAGCTGTTAGGAACAAATTGGGTACTGTGCTTCTGGAGTGCCTGGGGGCTCCAGCTTAGCATCCTGTACCTACACATTGTGACGTGGGGATAAAGGCACAAAGAAGAGGATCTCCACACGAATGGCCCTGTGCTTGGAAGACCTGTCTGGAGTCCCTGTTCTGTGCATAGAAATAGTTTTCATATTCCGCCTCAGCATCTTCACCTGCCTGGTGCTGGGGTGTGACTGTTTACATAGGGCTTTATCTCATGATGATGAGAAAACCTCTTACAATCTTGGTCCTAGGGACTCATGCAACAGTGTAACTGGAGTAATCACACTGTACTGCTGTGAATATTCATGGAAATGCTCATGGTTTTGACACTGGCAGACCAGATGCCCTAAATGGTAAACCTCAACTGAACACTGACAAACACATAGCTGGAACCACTCTAGCTAATCTGTGTTTGAGTACTGTTGAAGTAGATTGTAGTGTTATAAACATTTGCTTAGTATTTAGACTTTATGGCATGCTTGTAAATTGCTGTCTGCATTAATTTCACTTATAAAATCTGTATCAGATCCTATATGGAAATAATTAACTGTTTGCTCTGTAACTACAAATTATCAGACATGAGATAAATTAACAAATGTGAAACACTAGTTTGCCAAAGGAGGTATTATCTTTTGCCCAACAAAATAAGGCCCACCAACACCAGATGAACCATTGTGGGACATCAGATGCCAAAAGATTGCTCCGCAGCATC